AAGCTTTTATCAAATACAGATTTATGTAAACTTAATTTACAAAACACACCATTTCTTGTGGTCCCATAGAAAACAATATCAGAATTATATTTTTCTTTATATTCATATAATTTAAACTTTATTTTGAATACAATTTTCAAAATCTGTAGTTTCCGACGCTTTACTAATGAATTGATTTTCAAATATTGAAGCCTTTCTTCATGTCATATTATTTTGAGACATTTTATAACAAATAAATTTTGTTACCTTTCTCTGGACTGACTCTAATCTAATTGTTTGCGATTTGTTAGGAATTACGGATAAATTATAAAACTCTAAAATCGGCAAAATATATAACACATAAAGTCTTAAAAATGTTAATCCATTTACACGATTGCATATCACTCTAAGGATTGCAAACTTTTTCAATGCCTTCCCAATTATATAATCAAAATGAGTATTAAAAGTCATTTTGTTGTCATACATTACTCCGACATGTTTATGATTTTTAACATTATTATTCGTAGTGCAAATGCTCTAATCAAAATAATTTATTAATGCTAATATTATAATTACGTACATTTACACTAACATCGTGAATAATTATAAATTTCAAACTAATTCATAAATATCTATAACTAAAATACCTATATGACATACTACAGTATAGCAACTATTTAGTAAACTTGTTTGATTCTCAATGTGGCCAAAAATAGCCTATACTCTATGTTATAATGGATATAGGCTAGTTTTTGGCCAGATTGAGAATCAACAAGTTTACATTAATTAATTATATTGAAATCGCTGCGCATGATAACTTTTTTACAAAAAAGGTTATGTGCATAAAATTATTCTCAGATACAAGGTAACATATTTAAATTAATTTTCTATAATTATTAAGTTATATGAATAATTATATTTTTAAAAATATTTTAAAATAATTTATTTTATTTCTTTTTAAATTACTTAAAATTACTGTAATACGCAAAAGTAAATACTAGTATAATGTCAATTATAATAAAACAATACCTTGGTGGTACTACAACAATTTTGAATTAAGATACTAATTATTATATTAAAATGATAATTGTTTTGTACTTTATTATTAGTAATAATAATAGCTACGAGCTTATATTATATTAATAATCTAAATTATGAAATATACTTTATATTTACTATTGATTTTGGGTAACATTCAAAATTCTCTATAACCATGGTGCATCAAAAATATTTTTCTATTATTGGATTGTTATTTACATTCAATGGTAACAAGGTTAAATATAAAATTAACTTAAAAATAAATAAATAATAATTTTCATATATTTAGTTAATAACCAGAGTGAAGCACTATTATTTAACCGGATAATTAATAAAATAAGTATGTTCATTTTATTACAATATTTTTATATAATACAGTTAAAAAATTAAAAATTAACTATTAATTGTACTGTACTTATTTTTTATGTATAGCCAATGGGGGTAATAAATACAGTGAACCGGTAGTTCACACCAAACTCCTTACTTATAGGGACCTACAAACCCGCATAACCCGCAAAATCAAATCTATTATAAATATATGGAATACTGATAAACAATGTAATGTACAGTGTGTCAAAAAAATAACCAAATAATTATTTTCAAATAATTTAATTTCCAAATAATTTAAATAAAATTACATAATGAGATCATCAGATGTGATGCGTAATTGATTGTATTTTACGCAAAAATATCGTTCAATGTTTTCCGGTTTCATATTCGTTCGCCGATCAGAGAGAATGTAATTCAATTGCGAGAATGCGCGCTCAATCTCGGCTGTGGTCAAGGGGGCGGACATAAAATACGATTCCATTTCTTTGTTTTTTGTGTTAAACAGTTTGATGTCGGGGTTCTTTTCCAAACTACTCTTGAGCTTTTCCTGAGCATATAGTTTCAATTTTGAATAAACTGTATTCAAAATACACATTTGCTTAGCTCTCGTTAGCCCTCTCTCCTGAATGTCTTTAATCCCTTTTGTCAATATAGTAAAGTCCAATAAACTGTTGAGTTGTAATTTGAGTTCCGGGTTTTCAATCTGATTTTTCAATTCAATAATAGTTTGATTTTTATTAATCGGTATTTGATTAATAAATTTGCAAATTTCACTGAAATTCTTATCATTTGCATAATAATATGCTGTCTCTAAGAATGTCCCCCAGCGGGTATTGCTGAACCTTGGGGGAAGAGTTACATCTTTTCCGACACATTGCTGACGAAATTCATGTCTTCGTTTTGGGGAATTCTTGAAATATGATTTCATTTTAAGCATAAAACTTTCAACTAATTTATTTTCTATTCGTATTGTGTCACAAACCCGATGAAAAGCATGTGCAAGACATGTAACATGTAATGTCTGAGTAAACAGGCCTCCTTTGGCATCACTCACAGCGCACACCATTGTCTCTGCCTGATCTGTTACACAAAGCTTTACTCGTTCACAAGGTATGCCCAGAGTATCGCAAGCCTTAATCATTGCTTTGTAAACAGTGTCTGCATTGCAGGCATCGAGAACTTGAGTAGAAATTAAATATGGATCTCCGGATTTGGTTGCGTCTAATATGCCAACTAGACAACTGAATATAATTCTGCCACAACGTGAAGTGTATTCGTCAAACATCAAATAAACATTATTGTTGCCAATTATGTTTATGATTTTATTAAGCATTGTTTCGTACACTTTCTTCACATACTTTTGTCTCAATTGTTCTGGAAGTGGAATTTGTATTCCACCGAAATCGTTTATCCAGTCACGCATTTCCGGGTTACTTAACGCTTCCAATGGGATTCCGGCTGACATGAAACCCAAAACCATTGCGAATAGAAATTGTGTTTTGTAGTTCGGGTCCTCTTTCTTAACAGTAAACAGATTCTCAGTTGATTTGCGTTTATTTGAATTTTTGTCATTCAAGTTCTTTTGGTTTGTCAGTACTGACGTGTGCTTTGACGTTACTTTTCCCATGTTTGAGATCAAATCTGTCAAAATATGTGACACACGGTTTGCACAATAGTCTATTGTTTATCACACAAAATACGTCCGGATCCGTTGCACAAATCTTTTGCATTTCATCAATTGTTTTAGCTTCAACTGATTTATTATTGAGATTAATCAATGGCAAAAACTTAGTGCTCATTTTTTCCATTTTAAAACACTATTGTTATAAACAAAAATTTTACACTTTTTATTTCAACACAAAAGTACTGTACTTTGAATGAAAAGGGATTCAAATGTAATGAAGAAATTGTGGCAAAAGTTTCACTCAAAAAGCACAACTAAATCGACACAAATCCAAAAATAATAATTTTCACAAAAAATAAATCAATATTTCAACACAAATGTTATGTTTACTTGATATACATTAGGTTTAAACTAAAATAATGTTTAGAAAATAATATTATTTTCAATGTTTTTAAGCATAAATTTATTATAATCCTATCACTATCTGATCACCCGGTACATTGAAAGTGTTATCAGTATTGTTTGTTTAGTGCCTGGATGTAGTACCACTACACAGATTAAGTGAGTGCATGTGAGCTTAATGGCAAAATTATTTCCTAGGACTAGTGCCTGTGGTACAAATCTAGAGACATATCAAGTGATTCTCAAATTGGTAATGAATTTTGGTATAACTTAAGTGCGCATCACATGTTTGTCGAGAAGTCGTTGGTTTGGGACTCAACACAACCCCTGTATGTCTATCGGGAGGAACCGGTTATGTCTCTAACAGACTATATGTCATATACTGGAGGATTGTTTAGTCTATGGTTTGGCACTAATGGCAAAGACTTTATCATTTGGTTAATAAACAGCATTCATATGATATGGATTTGGATTTCTTATAAGTATAATGAATACCGATTTCGGAATAACGTTCACGTTATCAATGTTCAGCCAATATCGTAAAATTAATATTTAAATGTCAAGTACCCTGCATAATTAAGTATATATAATCTTATATTATAGGAAACAAAGACAAATTAAATTTTAAGTGTTTTCAAAAGTTTTATTATACAATTTATTATACCGTATAATATAATACTTTTTTAAGTTTATCATAATATAAAATTATTAAATCTTTTTAAAATTAATGTTGATTTATAAGATAACAAATGTCACCTGTACAAATTGAAACATCAAGTTGAATAAGATTACTTATTTTTAATTATTAAATTAAAATAATTATAATAATTAGCACTGATATTTCTGATATTATATTTAATCTCATAAATAAATAAATAATAATTTAAATGTATTTAGTTAATATCCAGAGTGAATCATTATTATTTAACCGGATAATAAATAAAATAGGCAAGTTCAATTTATGAAAATGTTTCTATTTAATAAGCTTAAAAATTTTAAAATTATTTATATATTATATTGTATTTATTTGTACATGTTGGTTGATAAATACATCTATCAAAATGCTCTGGCAGAAAATAATGAGGGTGATTTATGGACACAGATTGATCGTGCACATAAAGCATTGGCTAAAGCATTAGAAAATATCATTTTTATATTTTACAAAAATAAATATTTTATTATTAAACTTTTTGCAAGTGTAATTTATTTTATATAAAATTATTTTTATAATTTGTACCTTGCACTGTATGTTACACTAAATATAAACCTGAACAAATACTAAATTCATTACGACGTATAAAATATTATTTTGCAAAACACATCTATTATTCAATTAAAGTTTTAAAAATGTATTAAAAATACTATAATTTTAAATTTTTATTACAATGAACATCAAGTCAATTTTCATATTTTTATTAATTGTCATTGTTATGAGTTTAGTATAGCAATATAAATCATTTTAAAAATAATTTATTTTCGTTTAATATATTTATTTTACTATTAAGATGATTGCAACGCCGAGTCTACAACTCCCTGTCCACCCGGTGATGATGAGAGACATGTAACCACTACCGGCACCGGGAGTACAATGAAAACATTTGATGGATCTAAATTGCAAATCAAAAAAATGGCCGGTGCTAATCATAAACACAAATAGATTTTTGTGCTTGCTGAACATCTGAATTAATTCATTTATAAGAATTATATTTGAATAAAATTTTTGAAAATATGATAATTCAGTAATAAGTTTATGTGACTATTATTTAACCAGTTAATATTTTATAAGCACAAAATTAAAAATAATTCATTATCTACTTTGTATAAAAAAATTGTTTTTTGTAATTTAAATTTCTGAACATATCTGTAAATAACATATTATTTACTACAGTTTGCTTACTAATTATTTTATAATTACCATTAAAATGAGAAATATTTGCACTAAAAAATAAAATAACATTTTGTATAAACAGATACACTATAACAACTTATATAAAGTTCAACCAAACATATTTATTTTATTATAAAATATTTCATATTAAAATTATTCAACAATTTATTGATAATTTTATATTTTAATAATGATGTCTAAAACAATTGTATTTGTATTTATTATAGCTATCGTATTAGGTGAGAATTATAATTTGTATTTATTTTACACAATAATTTAAAATATTGTAATTATAGCTGTAGGTATAAATGTCGAGGGTGCTAATGGACAAAATGGCAATGGTCAGCAAGGTAATGGTCAACATGGCACTGGATATCATGCTAATAATGGACAAGGTGGTACTGTTAGCGTCAATAAAATGGCTGGTGCTAATCAAAAACACAAATGATCATGATCATTTTTGGTTTTCAAATATAAAAATAACAATTTAGATTAATTTCAATTAGAAAATGTCTATAAAATAATTATATGTTTACTCTCTCTCTCTCTCTCTCTCTCTCTCTCTCTCTCTCTATGAATTTGGGAATTAATTAGTGTATTCATGTCTTAAAAAAGTAATGATTTTTAATAAATTACACTTTTGAATGTTTTTAAAAATGATTATTTAATTTTCCTAACATCTGCCTATCAATTTTTAGCATGCAAAGTGCTAATTTAATTAATGTGCTTAATAATAAATATATTTGTTCAATATAATCAAAGTTACGTAAATCACATAATAAAACAATAAGCAAAAATGGGTGCACATTCATAAGGACATACAGCTGTATAATTAATTATACATTTATGTAATAGCAAATTTTATATACACTATTACTATAAAATAGATTTAACATTTTTGTATAAATATAATTTCTAATGATAACTAAACAATTTATTAATTAGATCAAGCATAAAATTTATAATTATAAACATGCTAATTAAGGCAACCGTATTGTTGTTTATTGTAGCTATTCTATTGAGTTGAGTAGAAAATAGTAACTATTTTTATAAATTATAATTATAACTTTACCATGCTACTTTATTACAGCTGAGAGTATCGATGCTCAGGATATGAGCACAACTGCCAGTCCTAATGGTGGGGCTGGACGTAGTGGTGGTAGACCTGGTGGATCAAAGGGCAATGGAGCTGAGCCTAGTAGGGCAAAAATGGCCGGTGCTAATCATAAACATTAATGATCAGTGTGCTATTAAATAATACAATTATGTTTTATTGTATTCATTAATTAAGCACATTTAAAGTGTAATAATTTTTATTTAAAATTTTAAATATTTCTAAATTGCTATTGTAAAATTATAATTAAATTTATATTTAATAAAATTGATTTATTATGTAAGAAATATTAAACAAAAAATAAAGTATTTATTGCGTAAAATAAAACATTAAAAAAAGTAAATAAATTAAATAGTAATTATCCCTATTATATTTTTAAAATTATTTAATCACCTTGTTTTAAACAAAACTAATGTTAGTTGTACTGTACACATTTATACATAAACAAGTTTTATTAGTTCAGACATTTTGATAATAGCATTAAATATCAAATTAAAATATAATTAATACCATAAAATTTAACATATAATAAAAATTTAAAGCACGGTTAATTAATAAATCTAATTTTAATTCAACATGAGAATTAAAACTATAGCACTTGTATTTATATTGGTTACTGTGTTAAGTTTAGTGAAAAAATATAATTAATTTTTTAATTTTTTAATTTTAAGAATGATTTATTTTTATAAAACTTTTTATTATAGCCGTAACAATGGCCGACAAGTCGACAACTCCCTGTCCTAATGCCGGTGCTGGTGGTGGGAACACAAATCAGGCAACTACAGGACCTGCCAAGCTAAAATTTACTAATCTAAAAATGGCCGGTGCTAATCAGAAACACAAATAAATTTTCATGGCTTATAAATAGGTTTAAAACTATAATAATTTTCTAACAAAATTTTTAAAATGTTTTCAATAATTAATTTTTAAAAGTAATTATAAGATTGCACTATTTTCAATAGTAAATATTATAATTTATTTATATTACAGTATATTAAAATTACTAAATTTTATAAAGAAAAATTATAAAAACTGTAAACAAACTAAAGGAAATTTATAAATTTATAAAACTTGATTTAATTCTTATATTAATTGGAGATCTCAAGAAGAATTGTTTAAATAATTATATTAATATTTTATAATTTATTTTTACTAACTATTTTTAAGTAGAGAGAGAGAGAGAGAGAGAGAGAGATTAAATTAATTTAAATTCATATTAAAATGTACTGAAATTTTGTTATTTTCAATATAAAACAATTAAATTAACGTTTGCATTTGTACACAATGACAAAAAAATGTCATTATAATATAGATATAAATAAATTAGTACACTATTAATTATTTTTTACAAATACGTAATATAATATTTAACTTTTTAAATTATGTTACTATTATAAATTATTATAGTAAAGTCATTAAATACAAATTATTGAACTTATATATTCAACAGATAATTAACTAGTTTAAATATATTTTCAGAAACTTACTAATTGAATATTGTAAGGTACATATTTGAGTCCTTTTAATCGTAAAATAAAAAATAATTAAATCTAAATTTAAAATCACATGAATTCAGTTCAAACAAACCACCTATCCACAATAATCTGCTGTACTTAAAAATCATTAATTAAAAACCCTAACAATTAAATTGTTTTGTAAATCAATTGTTATCCTATATGTAGTCACCCTAGTCATTAGTATTATTATTTTTTTAATCAATATATTTAATTAAAACGTTTAAAATTATTTTAATCAACGGTTGCCGTAAATCCAGTGTCGGCTCATTGAGATCATGGATCAGATGGTGGTTCACAAGGCTGTACCTGTGCTGCCAGTGGTGGGAAGGGAAGGACACATTAACCCAAGCTGACCTGGTTGTAATATCTGCATTTCTAAAAACGTGTCATTTTTTAAGTTTATATACTAGTAATTAAATGGTTGTTTTTAATTTTGTTTATCGCTTTAATAAAAATTAAAAGATATTCTTATTTTAATTAAAAATAAATCAAATATTATTATTCGTATAGACCAATATGACAGACAAATGAGATTTAAAAAAAAACATTTTAAAATATTATATAAAAACAAATATTACTAAAATTCAAAATAACAAAACAATTCTTTAGCTCTTACAATTAATAATGAAATCAATTAATGTTTACATACCTTGACAGTCTAAAAATGTTAGTACAATTAAACTCGAGTACAGCGCATTTTTGCTTGCGCAAGTCTTTATGAATTGTAAATATAACTAGTAACTAATTGTCAATTTAACCTTGACAATAACAATATAAATATATCGACCTTAGTACAATAATTTCATCTAATTAGCTTACATAAAATAATATACTAATCAGCATAATGTTTGGGAAATCAATTGCTATCCTATTGGTGGTGATGCTAGTCATCAGTATGGGTATGATTTTTATCGTTAAATTTAAATCTATTTTAAAAACTATTTTTATCTTTTATTTTAAGTTGCTGTCGATAACGTGGCAGCCATGGGTAACCAAGGATCAGGTGGTAGTGCCGGTGATGCCCATCCCACCAAAGGCAGACATGGTGGCAATTTAGGTAATGGTGGTGCCAAAGGTGGACAGGGTGGTGGACACTAAATTTAAACTGACCTGTTTGAAAATTATTTTGATTTTGTTTTAATTATGTAATTGTTAAGTTTTGCAATATAAATTCCAATAGATATTGTTAAAAATTATACTCAATGTAATTTTAGCTGTTTTATTTAAAAATAAATATTCTTTATAATAATATTATGGTAGACCAAGTTTCTTTTAAATACTACGGATTTATATTTTTAAAAATATAATAAAGATAATGTCCATAGTTTACTAAATGTCAATATAATTTAATCAAATTAACAAAATAAAACAGCTAAAATTACATTAGTATAATTTAAAGTGACTGGCGTACGCAAAATGAACAGTTCTAAGTTTAATTGTACTAGCACTATTATTTTTTC